TTTTTTTTTTCTAATCCAATAAAACAGATTATTAGCCATATGCATACTGTTGCTGAAGCAATGCTTACATCAAAAGAAAATATATTTAACTGATGTTCATAATTTTCTGGGCTAATCCCACTCGCAACAGCATCAATTAATTTTGCAGATACAAACATTAGTGGAGCAGATAAAAAAGTACAAGCAACCATTGCTGATGCAATTAAATCAATTTCAAGATTATATCGAAGAGTGAAAATAAATAAAGCTGGTGCTGTAGGAATAGTACCATATAGAAATCCATATGTACTTAAATCTTGTGTATCTGTAGCATTTTCTCCGGGATTTAAAAGAATAATAGATTCTCTTATAACCAAAGGAAGTACCAGCAATTTTATTGATATTAATATACCTGGTATTACAAGAGCTGTACCTTTCAACTTATGTACTTTTCCAACCATCATTAATCCCAACAAAAAAAGAGCACTTGCTGAGAAAGCATTACCAAATACATTGAGCACAGTTGCAAGTACAGCTGGTACTACATGACTAAAGACAAGATTACCAAAGATACCAAGGACAGTCATGAGAAGTACAGGATTTAACATTATTCCTTTTATAATAGAATAAATCATGTCCTTATAATTTCTATGATCTTCATCATAACGCTTACCAATTTCTAATAATACAAAACCAATTGGATTTAAAATAACCAACGATATAGGTGCCATTAAATATAAATAAGCAGCATATTCAGGGTGTGTTTTCCCATATAATGCATGAACTATAAAAATAATAATATTATATATTTATAAATTGATATTAATTTTTAATTTACTTACTCATAGGATATCCAATAGCAAAATCATTACTTTGTGTGGTAAATATTGCAAAAAGTGCAGCACAACCTGGATTTGGTGTTCTTTTAATAATTAAAGATATACTAAGAACAACAAAAAATACACAACTCTTAGCTAATAATACAGCAAAAAGAAATTTCCAGTTTACTAAAGTAAAATTTAATTTTGCCAATGACATAAAAATTAAGGAAGGTAGAGCAAATGTTCCTACAAAAGTATTCAGGCCATTTGCTTCTATTTTAGTAATAACATCAAACCGTCCTGCAATATATCTGAAAAATAAACAAATTTTTTTTATGTATATTTTGAAAATTATAAAGATATAAAAATAAAAATGTATACATAAAAATTTAATTATTAAGATAAAAAATAATTATTATTTTTATTAAAAAAATTTACCCGCATAATATAATAGCAAAGCACTGTATAAGTGCAAGATATAAATTATCTATTGGTTCAACTTTCATTATTGAAATTGAAATTTTTTTCAATTCAGGTGACTAATATTTTTTACATTTCTGAAAATGTAAAATAATTTAAATTAAATAAACATTTTAAATAA